TTGTTGCTTAACAGATCTCCCCAAAAGTTAGTGGCTTAGAACACCAATAACCATTTATTATCTTACATAGTTTCTGTGGGTCAAGAATTCAGGAGCAGGAGGGCTGGCAGGTTCTGGCTTAGATCTCCCATGAGGCTGCAGTCAAAGGCTAACTGAGGTTGTCCTCATCAGAAGGTTTGACTGGGGCTATAGGTAGGGATATAGGGCATATAGGTTTGACTGGTGCTTCTAAGCTGGATCTCTCCTATGGCTGTTGGCAGGAGATCTCAGTTTCTCATCACAAGGAATTCTCCATAGGGCTACTTGAGTAAAATGACAGTTGGGGGGGTCCCCGGGTGGCTCAGTCAGTTAAATGTCTGCCATAGGCTGAGGCCAGGATTCCAGGAGCCCTTGTCGGGCTCCCTGTTCAGCAGGGAGTCTGCTTCTCCTTCTCCCTCTGCCCCTCCCCCTGTTGGTGCTCTCTCACTCTCTCTCTCAAATAAATAAAATCTTTTAAAACAAAAAACAAAAAACGAGACATGACAGTTGGCTTTCCCCAGAGTGAGGGAACCAAGAGAGAAAGGTGGAAACATCAATGTCTTTTGTGATGTGGACTTGAAAGTCATGTTTTAGTATTTCCATTATATCCTGAAAGTTGCACGCATCATCCCTGTTCAGTGTGGCCGGAGATTACACAAGGGCATGAATGCCAGGAGGCCAGAATTTACTGAGAGCCATTTTGTAGGTAGGCTGCCACCATTCCTTTACTTGGGTCATCCTTGTCTTCACAGGACTGGCCCTGTGGGCAGAGGGGGACAGTACACAACAAGAGCGGGAAGTCAGAATCCAGATGGAATGCCTAAAACAGGAGTCCTTTGGATTGGCATTGGGATTGAGGAAAACATAAGGAAATATTTTTTCCATGTACACGGAACCAGTAAGATAATACAGAGGATTAACAGAGAGTGCTTTCAATAGTCACTCTAAGAGCTGGCAATGGCCAGGGTCCCAGCTAAGAGACAGCTCCCTATGGTCCAGGAGAGAAAGAAAGTGAAACAATGGCTGCCCATTGTTTTGATATTACTGAGCTGAGTTGAGCTCTCTGGTCTTTGCATCATCCTCAGGTCTTCAGGAGAGAATCCTGTGTGTGTTGAATGGCCTAGGGAAACTCCAGCTGGGGCTAGGCTCTCCCCAGTCTCTGTACCCGTCAGACCTTCCCCCGCTTTCAGAGTTAGAGAAGACCACAATTCACTTTCAATGCATTTCAATATCACAATTGTCTCCTCGTGGCAACCAGTGTACTTGGCCCTGTATTTTGTTCCAAAACAAAACAAATCACCTTAAAGGAATGAATACATTTACTTTGTTTTAGTAGGATGTACTTTGTTCTCAAAAACCTAAAGGAACTAATATTTCTACTGAGGGAGACAGACAGTACAACTTGTTAGACCACACTGGTCAGAGATTTTAAAACACTAGAGAAGGCATGCTTGATTCTCTCCAGGAGGGTAGTGAAGATTTCATGGGAGTTGAATCCTGGGGGGAGATAACATTTAGCCAGGTGGGAAAATGGGGAAAGTGATTTCTGGGGAAAGAGATGAAGACGAACTAAAGAGTTTAGGGGCATCTATGATTCTAATATATTGAATAAGATCAGGATGACTGGACCTTGAGTTATTACGGAAGAAGAACTTACAGCAAAGAGAGGTGTCAGGAGAATAGGTGGGAAATATCTGGAATCATAGATGCTGCCCAGAGAAAATCCACAAGTCATCCCCCCAATAATCCATCCATCCATCCATCGATCCATCCATTTCTGCATTTCCTGACATATATTTTCTCTCTCCTCACCCCAACACAGCACAAAACGGGTAGTTCTTGAATGTTTTTAGTGGGGCCCAGACCAAGAGAAGGCTCTACAACAGATCCCAGGTGCTGTATGGGCCAGTCTGCCATCCACACACATTGTAGCAGATCTAATGGTGTCTGAAGTATCAACAGTAGGTAGGGATGCTATTTGTTTTTGCTGATTTTTTTTTTCATTTTTCACATTGGAACAGGTTTCATTTAGATTAAAAGTTTTCCAATTAAATTTTTATTTTGAGATAACCATAAATTATGTGTATAAATTCATAGACAGTTCTTAGAAATAACATAGAGATGTCCCAGGTATTCTTTTTCTGGTTTCTCCCACAGGTAACAAATCACAAACACTATGGTGCAATACCACAACCAGGATATTGACATTAATACAATGCACATCTTATTCCAAGGAGAGATGATATTCGAGCCTTTGGCAAGCCTCTAGAGGTAGGTCACAGTGGAGGCCTTTTAGGATTTGGAGCAAGGCCCTGCCATCACCCACAGATAACTACTCTCTTTTTGAAAAACCAATCTTGGCCTGCCCCGGGCCTTAGTGGGGACTGAACATGACCCTGGGCCACCTGAGCTGCCCATTGAGCCATAAAGTTGGGCAAGCACAGCAGCACTCTATCATCAAATGGAAGTGATAGGTACATGATCAGGCCCTGAGGCACAAGAAAGTTATGTGAAGAAGTTGCCTGAATGCCCCCCACTGGAGCTCCCCAGTGGAGTAGGTCCCCACTCCTACTTCACTGCCTCCTCTCTCCCAGTCTGTATCTAGGGCCTCATGGGAAGTTCCCGACTATCAGTGACAGAGGAAGAGAAGACTCAGGCCTGGTTTCCAGATGGTTCTGTAAGATTCACAGGTACCACCTGAAAGGGAACAACTTCAGCATTATAGCCCTTCTCCAGACTATTCCTGAAGGACAGTGGGTAAGGGAAATGTTCTCAGTGGGCACAACTTTAGGCAGTACCCCGGGTTGTACACTTTGCTGAAAAGGAGAAATGCACAGATATGCAATTATACGCCAATTTCAGTGGTTTGGCTGGAAGACCAGGGACTTGGAAAATCCATTTGGAAACTTGGTGACATAGAAATTTGGGGGGGAGGTATGTGCGTAGAATTCTCTGAGAACATAAGGATATTTGTGTCCCATGTGAATGCTCACCAAAGGGTGACCTCAGAAGAGAAGGATTTTAAGAATCAGGCAGCTAGGATGACCATTCTGTAGCTATCAGTCAGCCTGTTTCTCTGCGCCTCCCCCCCTCCCCCCGCCCCAGCCATTGCCCAGTGGGCTCATGAACAAAGTGGCAGGAATGGATGTTATGCATGAGTTCAGCAGCACAGACTTCCATTCACCGAAGCTGAGCTGGCCGTGCCCACTGCTGAGTGCCCAGACTGCAGAGACCAATGCTGCGCTCTGATATGGCACCATTCCCCAGGGTGATCAGCTAGCTGGCATGTTGATGACACTGGACCACTTCCATCACGGTAGGGCGCAGCATTCATCTTTTTTGAAATAGATACTTACTGTGGATATTGATTTGTCTTCTTTGCATGCAATGCTTTTGCCAAAACTACCATCCATAGACTTCAATAATTCCTTATCCACCCTCCCTCTGTTCCCTACCCTGTTGCTTCTGATCAAGGAACTCACTTCCCAAGAAAGGAAATGTGGCAATGGGCCCATGCTCACGGACTTTCCTGGCCTTACTCTGTTCTCTGCCATTCTGAAGCTGCTGGCTTGACAGACTGGTAGAATGGCCTTCAGAAAACTCAGTGCCAGTGCCAGCTAGGCGGTAATACCTTACAGGCTGAGGCGAGGTCCTCCAGAAAGAAGGCTATATATGCTGTGGGACCTGCTCCTCTCCCTGGGATTAAACCCTGGGCCCTCTCCTCTTAGCTCCTGGATGGACTCCTCTTCCAGGTGGCACTTCACATGGAGCCTTTGTGGCTCTCGCCCAGATGGGAGTCATATCTGCCACAGGTGTGCCTGCCCTCCCCCGCCCCCAAGGAATCTGTGCCAAGTCAAGCTGACTTCTCTAAAACCCTCCAGCATCAAGAAGTCTTAAACCTTGCTTCCCACCAGGCAGGCACTCTCTCCTTGTCCTGTCCCCCGGCTCCCAGCTCCTGGCAGTACTTTCTCAACCAAGTTGCCTCTTTTCCATCTTCCTCTTTGCCCAGGGACCGACAGTCACCCAACAAACGACCCGAGGCAGAAGGGAGCCTGGGAGGACTGAGGTGACGGCGGTGGCTGCGCCCAGCAACGGGGTTCTCTAACCAATCCCATTCAGCCCGGTCTTAACCCCTGCCGCCCATCCCGCTCTGCGTTTTAACCTAACCGCTTCCCGGCAGTAGCGTGGTAGACCATTTCCCCAGAGATTTTAAGGGCAGTCCCCAAACCTTGTCCTCGCCCACTCTGGGAGGCGCCCCAGCGCCAAACCACCAGCTAACTCTGGCCAGGCCGTATTTCCTGAAATATTTCAATCTTCTCTCCTGCCCATTTTCCCTTCTTCACCCCATTCTCCTGGCCACCCTGTCTTTTCTGTCTTCATTCCCACTTTCCAAATCATCCCTTCTCGTGGTCAGAAAGTATAAACTTCCAGTTATAAAATTAAGTCATGGGATGTAATGTATAGCATGGTACATAAATATAGTTAATAATATATAAATATTGACTTGTACACTTCAAAAAATATGTTATATGTCAGTAGTATCTCAATAAAAAGCTTTAAAGGAAAATGAAAAGAAGGGATGATTCTTTTTTTGGTGGTGGAGGGGTGGGATGATACATTCTATGCCTTCTGTTATGGGTTGAATTGTGTTCCCCCAAAACTTATGCTGAAGTCCTAACTCCTGGTCTTGAGAATGTGATTTTATTTGGAAATAGCGTCTTTTTTTTTTTTTTAAGATTTTATTTATTTATTTGAGAGAGAGAGAGAACGAGTGGTGGGGGAAGGGCACAGGGAGAGGGAGAAGCAGGATCCCCACTTGATCAGGGAGCCTGATGCGGGGCTCGATCCCAGGACCCTGGTATCAGGACCTGAGCTGAAGGCAGATGCTTAACCGTCTGAGCCACCCAGGCGCCCCTGGAAATAGGGTCTCTGCAGCTGTATCCACATGAAGAGGAGGTCCTTCGGGTGAAACATCATCCAATATGACTGCTGTGCTGGTAAGAACGGACCAGAGACAAACAGTGAGGAGGTCAGTGCAGACACAGAGGCAGGGAGGGAAGCCGGCCCTGTGACAACGGAGACAGAGATCAGAGTGTAGCTGCCCGAGCCAAGGAATGCCAAGCATGGCAGGCAACATCCAGAAGCTGATGCCCCGCTCTCAATCTTTCAGCCTTCAGAACTGCAAGAGAAGAAAATCGTGTTTTGTATTATTTTTTCTTTTCGAAGTTATTTTTTATTGAGATACAATTGACATACAACATTATATTAGTTTCAATGTACAACGTGATGGTGGGGTATTTGTATATATTGTGAAATGGTCACCACAATAAGTCTAGTTTTAAGATCCACTCTCTCAATAACTTTGAAATATACAATACCGTTAACTACAGTGAGCATGCTGTACATTATGTCCACATGACTTTTTTATTTTACAATTGGAAGCTTTTGGCCATAAGAAGGGGATGATACTGATGGTAGAAATGAAGATGGAAAAGATAGGGTGGTCAGGACAATGGGTTGAAGAGGAGCAGACCGGCAGAATGAGAAAGGATTGAACTATTTCAGGAAATACGGCGGGGGGCGGGTTCTAGGGCGGAGTCAACCCTGTTGCGACAAATGTTCTGAGGCAGCGGCATAGAGCCGTTTTGCGGGGCCGGACTGCGGGAATGGCGTGCACTGGGGCCTCCAGCTTCAGTCTTGGCCTCCTGCTCTTGTGTTTCCTGCCAGTTCGTCCTACAGCAGGCTGCAGCCGTGAGTTCAGAGGTGGAACCTGGGGGTAGGAGCGGGGTGTTCGGGAGTGAGCAATAAGACCCGGGAGGGGAAGCGGTGTCCCCGGAGCGGTTCTGGAGCCTTCTCGCCCCATGGTGCTGAGCCCCCCTCCTCAGTTCTTCTCTGCGGGCTGCTTTCTGCCTGGAGGGTGTCTGTGGGCGGTTGTGGGTGGGGTCCCTGGGCCAGGAGAGGGACTGAAAACTGGCAGCTTCTGGGCGCCTGGGTGGCTCAGTCGGTTAAGCGCGGGGACTCTTGATTTGGGCTCAGGTCACGATCTCAGGATCCTGAGATGGAGTCTTACCTCGGGCTCTGTGCTCAGTTTGAGCCCTGTTTGAGATTCTCTCTCTCCCTCTCCCTCGGCTCCTCTCCTTCGCACTCTCTCTCTCTAAAATAAATAAATAAATCTTAAAAAACAAAAGAAACAAAAAAACAGGAAACTTCTTCAGAAGTTTCGGCCCGGCGCTGGGGGAGGGGAGCACAGCGGAGGGAGAGGCTGTCCGGCGGGAAATCTGTGATCCTCCCCAGCTCCCGCAGCCTCCCCTTCTCTCCGAGCCGGAGCCCAAGCCGCTGAGCCCCGGGCTCTGGGCAGAACTCAGGGACTTCCGCAGGGAGGGGACGGCCAGACAACCCCGTGCCTCTAAGTCTCTTACACTGCTGTCCTGCATGAGTCACACGGCCGTCGACCGGGCCAATTGTGTATGTTGGACCTGCCGGTACACCCGGCTGTGTATTACCCGCCCCCCCGCCCCTCCGTCGCCTGCCTCACCCCAGCACCTGCCGGCTCAGGGTGGGCAGCTCTGATATCCTATGGCCAGAGACCTCCTCAGTCCGGGTCCCTCGACCATACATGCCCCCAGCTTCTTCTACACCGTGTCACTTTCCGGGCTGTGAGTGGCATTGCCTCTCTCAAACACTAGCTCTCTTCCTGATAGTGCAGTCAGGATGTCACAAGGGCACATAGCCCGTTTTCCTACAGTACTCTGTGGCCCAAGGAGCTGGTCCAGCCTCACACATTCATCCCGAATTTCTACGGCTGCTTGCCTGCGACAACAGCACGTTGAGTAGGTACGACGGAGACCTATACAATATTTAATATATGCAGAGAATCTTGCACCAGACTGGCATTTCGATGAAAATAGAACAGGGTTCATTCACATCCTTGCATCCTGAGAGAGGTTTTAAGGTTGGTACTCATCTCTGTTGTTGCATCCAGGATAAGATACTCTTTTAACATTGTATTTGGAGAAAAGAGAAGACAGTGTGAGAATACTGTACTTGAATTTCCCTGCCCCCTAGCCCCCAACCCACTAGTAATTCAACTACAAACATTTTTCACTCCTGTAACAAATGTGGGGAGCGTGAAAGGACCGCTTCATGGATGCCTGACCCAGTGGTGTCACTGTGAACAGGACCTGGGGCAGGTGACTTCTCATTCTCGGCAGCACCTCATGCCTTGCACCATTTCAATAACAGGGGCCATGATAACACTAGGATCCCTGAGGACGATGTCAGCTCACACACTAGGTCCACTGACAATGTCTGCATGGTCTCTGCTCCCCAGTGTAAACCTAGCCCTGCGAATGACCACATGACCCTTTGGGGAAGGCCAGTAGGAAGCATTGCTCTTGCTGTTGACCAGAAGGGTCCTTCCTGATTGGAAGCTGGCTTCTGCTTCTCCTAAAGGCTTCCAGCTCTGAGAAGTGGCTCAGGTCTGGAACCTGGGCAGAGGATCCAGACTCTCTGTTGGATGTTTGCTTTCAGCCTCGTCCTCATCCATCCTGGGGCTTGGTCTTTGTTTGTTTGTATTGTTTAAATCGAGCAGCCTCTGGGTTGGCTGTCCAGCTATCTTGCCTCTGGGATCACTGTGTTCTGTGAGCCAAAGGGATGGAGAGCTTTCTGTGGGGCAGGCCCTGACCAGCATTCCAACCTCCAGGATTAGTTCAATCATGGCTGCCTCCCGGCTCCTGGCAGTTGAGCGCCAGTATCTCAACTCTCTTATTTCGGGATTTTTCAGCCCATTACTCCTGGGCCCCTATCTCTGCACCACCGTCTCCTACCGCCAAGCTGGGCCATCAGAGAGACGTCATTGAGCTTCTTGACAACGCGGGTGCTTTTCTCACAGTGTGGTCTTCGTGAGTGCCAGAAAGAGTCCTCCAGACCTCTCCGTGAGCAGAGTTGGAGGACATGTTTTTAGTTTTGTTTTACGCATTTCTTGCTATATCTGTTCTGATGAGGGATGCTGGTATCAGCCTGGTAGACACAGGGGCCTTTTCGATGGCTCTGTGGTTTCCTGCCAGGCCGAGGCATCCTGATCCTCCTCAAACCCGGGAAGGGCTCCACCTCTACCGCTGGGGGGGAGGAGCTGTGCAGGGACAGCTAGCCAGCCTGCCACACGTTCTAGTGCTGTCGCGTGCATGGCCGAGGGGGTCTGCCGGTCATTGTCTTCCAACCCCAACCTCCACCTGTGCTTTCCCTTCGCAGATGCTCTCTCTCTTTCCTACAATTTCAACATCACATCTCGGGCCAGGCCTGGACAACCATGGTGTGAGATTCAAGGCCTGGTCAATGGAAACCAGTTTCTTTCTTACGACTGTCGGGGCAAGGAGGTCAAACCCGTTGGTCCTCTGGGGATGAAGCTGAAGGACACAGCGTTTTGGGAGAGACAAAAGGAAACTCTGGAAGACCTGGTGGAAGAGCTCAGAAGGAAACTGCTGGACATCAAAACAGGGATTTTCACTAAGAGCCGTAAGTCTGAAGGCCCAGGGCAGAAGGAGAACAGTTTGGTAGGGCCGGGGGCCTAGGGTGTTCATGTAAAACTTAGAAGTGGGTCCCACACACGCGGCCCAGCAGCCAGGGCCGACAAGGAGGACAGAGCAGGACCGGGAGGGCTGAAGGGGAGCTGAGGAGTGCACAGCAGGTGGGGCAAAGGATTGGTCAACACCAGAGGCTGACTTGTTCCCCGTGGTGGGCGCGGGGGGCAGATCCTCTCACCCTGCAGGGCAGGCTGGTGTATGAGTGTGGACCAGACAGCCACCCCAGAGGATCCTGGCAGTTTGCCTTCAATGAGCAGATAACCCACCGCTTTGACCTGGAGACCGGAAATTGGACAATGGTGCCTCCTGAGGACCTGCGGTTCCAGGGCACGTTGGACAGTGACGGAGAGCTGACTGGCTTCCTCATGAGGATCTCAAACGGAGACTGTAAGGGCTGGCTCCAGCAAGTACTGGAGCACTGGGATGAAATGCTGGAGACAACAGGTAACTCAGAAGACTGGATGGAGCGCTGCTTCTCTTGAAATGAGCTCCACCTTCCCACTGTGTGTGGGGTGGGGGGGGAGGGTTTGTCTGAGAGAGAGAAAGAAATTGATCCATCCATGGCAAATTCTTCCTGGCAGAAAAATGGTTACAGGAATGTTCTAGCATCCTTCCTTTCCCTTCTCACCTTCTGGAATCACTTCCTCGCTGCACACACCTTTGTCCTTGGGTATTTCTTGGATTTCTTGCTGGCCCCAAACAGGGGGGCATCAGACTGTTGCCAGAGATTATCTTCTTACTGATCCCTTTTTCAGGGATCATTGTCTTTTTCATGTCACCTGGTGGGCTGCTGGAAATCCTTCAGTGCCACCCGGACTGTCAGCTCCTGAGAGGTGGTCGCTGTCACCATCCTTATCCTGCATCACCTCCTGTCTGTCACAGCAGGAGCGATTGGTTACATGGCAACCCCTGCTTCCCAGTTGGCCGTAGGAGCCCCCGGGGGGACAGGGCACATCCCTTCCCCTCCCCCCAAGACAGCAGGACTTGTCACAGCAGCTGCCACAAGGAGAGTGATAGACCCCGTCAGCCTGGTAGGGTGGACCTGAGCCAGAAGGCCCGAGGGATCCTCCCCCAGTTTGGGGTCCGGACTGGGGCTCTCACTCTTGCGTTTTCATTTCAGTGCCACCAACCATGAAGCAAGACACGGCCCCGGCCAGGACCACAGCCATCGGACCCGGCACCTGGATCCCCACCCTGCTCCTCAGCTGCGCAGTCCTAATTGGCATCCATGTTGGCCTCCTTTAGAGGGACAGGTCCGGAGGGCAGATTGAGAGGGAAGGGAGGGCAAATGGCCTGGGGTGAGCCCAGGGAAAGGTGAATTCCCAGCCTGACCCCTGCCCACTCCCTGAACCTTCTCACACAGCAATGGGACCGGGTGAATGAGAGCTCATATCACGTGTTAGCAACAACTTGGACAAGCTCAGCCCTGAGTTCTGATACGGCCTCGCTGTTAAGGCCACTGGGAAAGGCGAGGGGCCCACACCACTGCTTACGGCCTGTTGGTGCTAAAGGAATGTAGGGACCTCAGGCCTGGCTCTCTGGAGAGAGTCAACTTGGGCCCAGGGTGGGTGGTGTGGGACCAGCAGGGACACACAGCATGGGCTGGACTCACCTTTGAGTGAGCGCAGCATGGCAGCTCCATGTGACGTGTCCAGGAGAAGGGGACTCCATCCGAGCAGTTACAAGGAGAGGGTCCCACATCTAACCCCAGGAGGAGGGCGTGGGAAGGCCTCTGCACACCGCTCAAAGGGCTGGAGAGTAGGGCCGTGTCCCCCCAGAGCGTGGCTTGGGTCTTCCCAGGTAAGGAAGAAGTGAACAGCAGAGACCGTGCCTGACGGGCCTAGAAGGAGGCCGGTTCTCCGTGCAACAGTGGGAATCCTGGCTGAGGCTGGTGCCGTCCCTGGCAGCTAGCTTCCTGCAGACCTCAGATCCTGAGCCACTGAGCAGCCCCTGCTTTGAGCAGAGCTGGCCTGGGAGATGGGGGGAACTGAGTTGCCCTGTGTGCTCCCAGCTGAGCCGGACCAGGAAGGGATGGGCTGGGGGAAGGGATCATGATACTAAGAGCTCTGTGTGCGGCTCGCTAGGAGGCTGGCAGGGAAGGGAAAGAAGGATCTCTGGCCACCCTGTTCCCCAAGGTTAGAGGTGTCAAGGGCAGGCCCCTGTCTTCTGTCAGATGCCCCAGCAGGTCCTTGAGGGCCTGCCATGAGAGGGAGCATTAGAACGCGAGTCATGTGAGCACATTGATTTCTTACTCACTTTAGTCCTGAGCCCAGACCCTTGGTAACAGGGCCTGGGGCTGACTCAGTGATTTGGTTCAGGAGGGAGGAGGTTCGTAAAGGTGGCCGGACCCAGGGCTGGGGACCTGGCTGGGGGGAAATGCATGCCCCTGGGCGAGGGCTGGGCTCTGGGGTAGGGAGTGCTGGTGAAGGGCAGCCCCAGGACAAGGGACCCAGGATTTCCTGAGCCACCGAGACAAGCACCTGTTCTTTTCTTAGGCTGCTGAGGCCACCAAGAAGCCCCTGAGGCGGGGACCAGCTCAGCGACGACGCTGCCTTTGGGCCTGCTGCCTTTGGATGAGCTGCTGTTCATTTGTAGACCATCAGCGCTCTCGAGTTTACAAATCCAGAGACCTCAGTCGACCACGTGGTGCAGGGCAGGGAACCTCCCAGGTCCCCTCTTGCATTGGGTGGCGCTCCTGTTCAGCACTTTCCCTTGGCATATTCTATGCCGCTTTCTCTCTTTGGTGCTAGGTGATAGTATTCTTGTGCTGAAATGTTTAAATGTTTGGCCAAGAAATGTGAACAAAGAGAACATTTCCCATCTTGCCCTTGTTTGTGCAATATCAGCATCTTCTCTGTAAGATGACCATGTTCTTGCAGACAGTATCACCAAAAAGATGTTGTTTGAAGCTAAAGAACCTCAGGGAGTTTTTTCTCTGTACTGAGAAACAACTTCATTGACTTTTAAACGGAATGACATTATATTTGTGATTGTTTTCTTCAGTGAATTATGTCCATGTACATATATTTAAAAAAATATTACCTCTACTATAAAAATGTAGTTAATTTGGAATTTTTTAATTTCTTTTTTTATTTTTTTCAAAGATATTACTTATTTGAGAGAGAGAGAGTGTGAGAGAGAGAGCGAGCACAGGCAGGGGGAAGGGCAGATGGCGAGGGAAAAGCAGACTCCCCACTGAGCAGGGAGCTGGTTGTGGGTCTCCATCCCAGGACCCTGGGATCGTGACCTGAGCTGAAGGCAGTTGCTTAAGCACTATGCCACCCTAGCCGTCCCTGGAACTTTTTATTTTTTATTTTTTTAATCTTGTAAGAATTTTATTTATTTGAGAGAGAAAGAGGGAGGGAGAGAGAGAGTGAGCACTTGTGGGGGAGAAGGGGCAGAGGGAGATGGACAAGCAGGCCCTCTGAGCAGGGAGCCTAGCAGGGCGCTTGATCCCAGGACCCTGGGATCATGACCTGAGCTGAAGGCAGATGTTAACCATCTGAGCCACCCAGGCGCCCCTAATTGAATGTAAATTTAAAAAAAAATAGGAAAAAGAAAACAAAATTAGTCATTTCTCCTAACAGGCAAAGTGTTAGGACAATTCACACAGTTTAGGTATATTTTTAAAATGTATTTTAAACTATTTAAAATTATTCATTAAACTTCTATATTAGAATTCTTAACCCTTAAAAACCTAAATTTCTGGTGAAAATTGAGAAGCAAACGTTAGTGGACTGTCTCTTAACCTAGCATTCCTAGTGGAGTAGCAGATTTGTAAACACTTTTCACAATTTTTAGAAATGCACGCTTTCTCATAATAAGTTTTCCAGTTGGCACAGGACATGCTTACCAACAGACCCAAATATCTTGAGTTCCTCTGTAAAAGGAAGCCAAAAGTACATAAATCTATGTTTGGTAAATCAATAAATAAATAAGTTTAAGATAGAACAGTTCATTAAGCTTCTGTTCGAGCCCTACAAATATCTGGTAATATATGATTAAGATCCGAGTTTGGGGCGCCTGGGTGGCTCAGTTGGTTAAGCGACTGCCTTCGGCTCAGGTCATGATCCTGGAGTCCCTGGATCGAGTCCCGCATCGGCCTCCCTGCTTGGCAGGGAGTCTGCTTCTCCCTCTGGCCCTCCCCCCTCTCATGTGCTCTCTCTCATTCTCTCTCTCTCAAATAAATAAATAAAAATAAATAAATAAATAAAAAAGATCCGAGTTTGGTTTTAGGAGAGACTATGGACTCTGAGAAACGAACAGGATTTTAGAGGGGAGGGGGGAGGGGGGAGGGGGAAGGGTTAGCCTGGTGATGGGTATTAAGGACGGCACATATCGCATGGAGCACTGGGTGTTATATGCAAACAATGAATCATGGAACACTACATCAAAAACTAATGATGTATGGTGATTAACATAATAAAATAAAATTTAAAAAAAGATCTGAGTTCAGGTTCTCTAGGTGCTATGGTTCTAGAACGTGGCTATTTATTTCTCAAATCCTAGAATTAAAATAAGTGTTTCCAATGACTAAAGGGGATTGGATACTTTATTATCTATCATAATAAATCTAGCATTATGTGGCTGATTTTAGGCAATTTATAAAATAGAAAAATGATCCTGAGTGAAAGTGATATAATCTAGCTCAACGCTCACTTTGTCTCAGAGCTAAACCGTGGTCGCTAAAAAAAAAAAATCACTCATTTTTTTTCCCCCTCTGCAAACCTGAAGATAGTACTGCTTGGAAATAGGATTCTCTGTAGAATTTACGGGTTGCTAGGAGGATGCATAGCTGGAGTAATAGCATTCATCGTTCATATGCTTTTACTTCCAGAGCCTGAGAACACGCCTTAGAATTTGGCCAAATGCCCATATGCTTCTCCTATACTTCCAAAGACAAGGGACTTGAAGCTATGTGCATTCATAAAGAAGGAGAGGATTGCATATAAATTATATCTCAATAAATTTGATTTTTATAAAAGGTGGGGGGAAGGAAGCCTAGCGGTGCCTGAACAAAAGAAATCCCCCAGCGAACATGTCATAGCCATAAGCACATCTATGTGTCTAGTGTTTGAAAAAGTGTTCAAAATCTTCGTCCAAATCCATGAAACTCTGACTGTCCCCTTAGCGTAGTACAGGATCAAGCGGATGGAGGTAACAGTGGAGCAGCCTCCTGGCTCCCGGCCACAAATGAACCCCGAGGAACTATAAAGGTACGAAGGAAATAGATCAACAGCAATTTCCTCAACAGCCATCCTGGTTGCAGGAGGTCCAAGTGGTATTCCCTCTCAAGTGTTGGAGGAGGAAAAGAGCTCTGGGCCTAGAATTTCATATGCTGTCATATTCTCATTCGAGTAGGAGAGTGTATGTATTCGCTTTTAATGGCAGCCATAACACATCGCCACAAACTTAGCTACTTAAATCAAGACATATTTCTTATGTCACAGCTATGTAAAAGAGATGTCTGAACTGGCTCGGTGAGTTTCCTGCTCTGGGCTTCCCAAAGCCACTGTCAAGGCACCGAGCAGCTGGGCTCTTAGCCAGAGACACTGGGAGGAATCTGCTCATTCAGATTGCTAAGGAAATCCAGTTTCTTGGAGTTTCTGGACTGAGAGCCCCACTTGCTTGCTGGCTGCCAGCTGGAGGCCCTCCTTAACTCCTGTAGGGGCCTCCATCTTGCATATGACCCCCCTCAACTCAGGGCCAGCAATAGGGCGCCCCATCTCTCTACCTCTCCTTCTGCCACATCTCTCTTGCCTCCAGTCTGAGAAAGTCTTCATTTTGAAGGGCTCATGTGATTCACTGGGCCCCTGAGATGATCTAGCATAATCGCCGTATCTTGGGGCGCCTGGGTGGCTCAGGTCATGATCCCAGGGTCCTGGGATCGAGCCCTGCGTCGGGCTATCCGCTCAGCGGGAGGCTTGCTTCCCCCTCTCCCACTCCCCCTGCTTGTGTTCCCTCTCTGTCTCTCAGTCAAAATAAAGAAATCAAATCTTTAAAAATTAAAAATTAAAAAGAGAAGGATAATCTCCCTAGCTTAAAGTCAACTGAGTAGCCACTTTAATTACCTCTGCAAAGCCCCTTCATAACAGTACATAACAGATTAACAAATGTTAATCAAATTAACACTTGATTGAGTGACCAAGGAACATGACACTTTCAGGGAAACCTCAGAATTCTGAATACCACTGGGTATTAAAACTATTTTTGAACAAATAAAGCCTAAAGAATATTTTTCCCAGAAAGTTCCAACTTGAAAATATCTTTTGGATAAAGTATTCCAATAGTAAGAGAAACCCATCCAGGAGATTTAACAAGAGAAATAAGGAGAATGAGTAACCAATTTTGCTAAAATTTTTATTTGTTAAAGACAGCAACAACATTTTAAAATTCTTAATTTATTAGATTTCTGTTGCCTCAAAAAAGAGGGTGGTGTGAAGGGTCAGGGGAGTTTCTATCACAGAAAAAAAAAGTATAGCAACAACTCAGAAATAAAAATCTGGGTAATATCAGGGAAATGGGGTGGGAGGAAGCACACAAAATAGATATGGAAACATGCTAAATAATTTTTGTTTGGTATGAACAAAAACAATGATAAATAAATAAATGTAAATAAACATTAGTATGGATCAAAGTTTAAGGGCAATGATTATGAGAAGAAAGCTAGAATGCATAATGTTTAAAACAGCAGAGGAAAAGTCAGTACAGTAAAAGCAATGCAGATAGGGAGAGGAAATTTTTTTTAAGCACAATAAATGAAAAATGTGATGACTGGGATATCTCCTACTCTACTCGTAATCACAATAAAGGTAACCTGCTAAACTCTCCAAATAAAGAACTGAAATTCTCAGGTTAGATCATAAAATAATGGAACACACACGTTGATTTCAAAAAACACCCTAACCCCCCCCCCCCAAAAAAAACAACCCTGAAAACGAAAGGAAACAGAAAGATTACAAATAAAATACCTAACAGTCAGGGTACACTAGCTTTATTGCAGAAACAGCATGAAAAGTTGAGAGTCTTAAAACTAATGTACGTTAAAAATGACGCAGATGATGAATTGTATGGGGTTCGAACATATTTACCATTTTTTAAATTATTTTTTTAAATGCCATTTGTCTTCCTCGGGCCAAAGGTCCAGCGCAGCTCAGCGGGAAGACTCTGCTTATTAAAGAGAAGGACAGCAGTGGGAACCTTCTCAAAAATTCAGAGAATCGGGGACACCGAGATGGTTCGGTAGTTCAAGTACCTGCCTTTGAGTCAGGTCAGGGCCGTGTCCCGCGACGGATCCCGCCCAGAGCCGGCCCAGAGCCCCGCCTCCGCCCACTAAGCCCCGCCTCCGTCCAGCCTCAGCCCCGGGGTCTCTGGCCTATTGGGGACCCGCTGCGGGAGCCCCGGAAGCCTCCCGGCCCCCTGCCGCCCAGCCTGCGGCTCCGCTCTCAGCCGCTTTCTCTACCTCTCCCGTCCCCCTCCGCTCGTGCTCTCTCGCCGCTCGGTCAAATAGAAGAAGAGAAAACTGGAAGACGCGCGGAGCAGTTTCTCCCGGACAGACGTCGAGTGACACTTGTGTGAACAGAAGTGTGTTCCGGCGGAAAGCCAGCGCCGGCCCAGGCCCGGCGACAGAAAGCACGCTCCGCTCCCCGGCCCGCGGGTTCGTTCAGAAGCCGCCCCAGACTTGGGGTCGCGATGCAGCCCCCTGCCGCCAGCAGGTTCACGCTGGGCCTCCCGGTCCTGCTGCTGGTGGCCTGGGTCACGGCGGCGGCGGCGGCGGCGGCCGGATCGGTCGTGGGCGCGGCGAGCAGCGGGCGAGAGACACGTGAGTCCGGGGCTTTGGGAACCTCGTCGCCCGCTGGGGCCGGCGTCCCGTCCTCAACCCCGCCGCGGGCTCCTTTCCGCCGGGACTTTGTCGCCCTCTGGACGGAAAGGAGGCGACCTGGGCGACCCCGGACTGCCACCTCTGGGCGTGGGGCGCGCGGGGCAGGGGGAGGGGCGGCAAGGAGTCTGCGGTCGCCCCCAGCCCCCGCCTGCCCCTCGGGGGGCCGGAGCCCGAGCCCCTGAGCCCCTGAGCCCCGGGCTGTGGGCAGGACAGGGCGATCCCGCAGGGCCTGGACCCCACACCACCCCGCGCCTCGGCCACTCACGTCACTTCTCCATCCCCACTGCTGTCCACCGGTAGACGTCCCAGGGCACTTGAGCCAAGGTTCAAGGCACATGCAGCGCCAGGCCCTCCTTCACCGGCCACATCCCAGCACCACCCAGCTCAGGGTGGGCAGCTCGGATACCCCCTGACCAGAGGCCTCCTGGCTACAGGTCCCTGGACCATACTGCAGCCTCTTACAGGCTCACTTTCCCGGCCTCGAGTGGCATTGCCTGGGTGGATCACAAGTTGGTGTCTACCTAACGTTCCAATGTTAGGATGTGACAAAGGGCACAGAACATTTTCCTACAGTGTCACAGGGTCCTATGGCCCAAGAAGCAGGTCCAGGCGCTCGTTCATCCATATATTGTCTATGGCTGCTTCACTTTGCTAAGGCCCCAGATTCGAGGAGGTACGACAGAAACCTATGCAACATTAATATATACAGAGAACCTTTGCACCAGGCTGGCATTTCAATGAAAATAGGAGAGGGTTCACAGCCCTGCATCCTTACAGAGGTCTTAGGGTTGGTACTCAACTCTGTCATTCCATCCAGGGTAGGGCACTGTTTTAACATTGTATTTGGAGGAAAGAGAAGACAGTGTGAGAATATTGTACTTGAATTTCCCTGCCCCCTAGCCCCCAACCCACTAGTAATTCAACTACAAACATTTTTCACTCCTGTAACAAATGCGGGGCGCGTGAAAGGACCGCTTCATGGGTGCCTGACCCAGTGGTGTCACTGTGAACAGGACCTGGGGCAGGTGACTTCTCATTCTCGGCAGCACCTCATGCCTTGCACCATTTCAATAACAGGGGCCATGATAACACTAGGATCCCTGAGGACGATGTCAGCTCACACACTAGGTCCACTGACAATGTCTGCATGGTCTCTGCTCCCCAGTGTAAACCTAGCCCTGCGAATGACCACATGACCCTTTGGGGAAGGCCAGTAGGAAGCATTGCTCTTGCTGTTGACCAGAAGGGTCCCTCCTGACTGGAAGCCGGCTTCTGCTTCTCCTAAAGGCTTCCAGCTCTGAGAAGTGGCTCAGGTCTGGAACCTGGGCAGAGGATCCAGACTCTCTGTTGGGTGTTTGCTTTCAGCCTCGTCCTCATCCATCCTGGGGCTTGGTCTTTGTTTGTTTGTATTGTTTAAATCGAGCAGCCTCTGGGTTGGCTGTCCAGCTGTCTTGCCTCTAGGATCACTGTGTTCTGTGAGCCAAAGGGATGGAGAGCTTTCTGTGGGGCAGGCCCTGACCAGCATTCCAACCTCCAGGATTAGTTCAATCATGGCTGCCTCCCGGCTCCTGACAGTTGAGCGCCAGTATCTCAACTCTCTTATTTCGGGATTTTTCAGCCCATTACTCCTGGGCCCCTATCTCTGCACCACCGTCTCCTACCGCCAAGCTGGGCCATCAGAGAGACGTCATTGAGCTTCTTGACAACGCGGGTGCTTTTCTCACGGTGTGGTCTTCGTGAGTGCCAGAAAGAGTCCTCCAGACCTCTCCGTGAGCAGAGTTGGAGGACATGTTTTTAGTTTTGTTTTACGCATTTCTTGCTATATCTGTTCTGTCAAAGGCTGAGGGATGCTGGTATCAGCCTGGTAGACACAGGGGCCTTTTCGATGGCTCTGTGGTTTCCTGCCAGGCCGAGGCATCCTGATCCTCCTCAAACCCGGGAAGGGCGCCACCTCTACCGCTGGGGGGGATGGGCTGTGCAGGGACAGCTAGCCAGCCTGCCACACGTTCTAGTGCTGTCGCGTGCATGGCCGAGGGGGGCCTGCCGGTCATTGTCTTCCAACCCCAACCTCCACCTGTGCTTTCCCTTCGCAGATGCTCTCTCTCTTTCCTACAATTTCAACATCACATCTCGGGCCAGGCCTGGACAACCATGGTGTGAGATTCAAGGCCTGGTCAATGGAAACCAGTTTCTTTCTTACGACTGTCGGGGCAAGGAGGTCAAACCCGTTGGTCCTCTGGGGATGAAGCTGAAGGACACAGCGTTTTGGGAGAGACAAAAGGAAACTCTGGAAGACCTGGTGGAAGAGCTCAGAAGGAAACTGCTGGACATCAAAACAGAGATTTTCACTAAGAGCCGTAAGTCTGAAGGCCCAGGGCAGAAGGAGAACAGTTTGGTAGGGCCGGGGGCCTAGGGTGTTCATGTAAAACCTAGAAGTGGGTCCCACACACGCGGCCCAGCAGCCAGGGCCGACAAGGAGGACAGAGCAGGACCGGGAGGGCCGAAGGGGAGCTGAGGAGTGCACAGCAGGTGTGGCAAAGGATTGGTCAACACCAGAGGCTGACTTGTTCCCCGTGGTGGGCGCGGGGGGCAGATCCTCTCACCCTGCAGGGCAGGCTGGTGTATGAGTGTGGACCGGACAGACACCCCAGAGGATCCTGGCAGTTTGCCTTCAATGAGCAGATAACCCACCGCTTTGACCCGGAGACCGGAAATTGGACAATGGTGCCTCCTGAGGACCAGCGGTTCCAGGGCACGTTGGACAGTGACGGAGAGCTGACCGGCTTCCTCATGAGGATCTCAAACGGAGACTGTAAGGGCTGGCCCCAGCAAGTACTGGAGCACTGGGATGAAATGCTGGAGACAACAGGTAACTCAGAAGACTGGATGGAGCGCTGCTTCTCTTGAAATGAGCTCCACCTTCCCCACTGTGTGTGTGTGTGTGTGTGTGTGTAAATTACATACATGATGACTTGTTCTTAGGAGTACAAGGGCCACTCGAATGTTCTAGCACCCTTCCTTTCCCTTCTGACCTCCTGGCACCTCTCCCTACTGCGTATACCTTCAGGCCTCTCACTGTGGGCTTCTTGCTGGCCCCAAACCTGAAGGCATCATTCTGTTTCCAGAGATTTACTTCTTCCTCTTCCCTTTTCTGAGCATCATTGTTGTTTTTCATCTCGACTAGTCTCTTTCTTGAAAGCCTTCAATGCCACCTGAAATGTCAGCCTCTGACAAGATGCCTCTGTCACCATCCATACGTATCCCTCCTCTTTTGTGACGGCAAGAGTGACTATCTACATGGAAACCCTTGCTTGCCCCATTAGCTGTATGATCTGCGTGAACCCACCCCCCCTCTCCTTTCCACCCCCAGGACCTGTCGCAGCGGCTGCCACAAACATGGCGGCAGGAGGATATCTGCGCTGTAGGATTACCTGGAGCTGCAGCAGCTAAGGACTCACACCCCCCCCCCCCCCCAGTTTGGGGCTCCAGGCAAGGCTTTCACTATTGTGTTTCCATTTCAGGAGCACCAGCCACAACCCCAGGTGTAGTCCGAGCCAAAGGCACAGCCATCAAGCTGATCACCTCCATCCTCCCTGTGCTCCTCACGTGCTCAATCCTCCCTGGCATCCAAGGCAGACTCCTTTGAGTAACAGGTACTGTGGGCAGAACTGAAGTGAGAGGCAGATGGCCTGAGGTGAGCACAGAGAAAGGTGAATAGCCAGCCCTCCCCTTGGCCTATTGCGTGAACCTTCTCACCTGAAAATGAGACCAGATGCATAGGACTACACTAGCTTTTCCCAAGAAAGAGAATCATGAGGAGCTGTTGATGTAGATGTTGAGGTAGATAATTATGACAAGGGATCGGTTCACGATTATGGAGGAAAACCCAGTCTCACAATTCGCTGTCTGTGAGCTGGAGAAACAGGAAGCTGGTGGTGGGGTTCCAGTGCCCACCTGAAAGCCTGAGAATCAGGGCATCCGTGGTGTGAGTCTAGGTCCTGGTCCGAGGAACCAAACACCAGGAGTGCTAATGACCAATGTCTGAGGGCAGGAGAAGGATGGCCCCGCCAAACTGAGAGCAAAGTCACCTTTCCTCTACCTTTTTTTTCCCATTCGGGCCCTCATGGATTGGATGAGGACAGTCCTCTTTACTCAGTCTACTGATTCAAATGCTCATCTCCTCCAGAAACATCCTCTAGACAGACCCAGAAAGAATGTTTTCCCAGCTATTGGGGCACCCCTTAGCCCAGTCAAGTTGACCTATAAAAGGAGCCAGGACCAAGAACTTACATTGCTTGATAGCAATTACCTAGGCAAGCTTAGCCTTGAATTCTGATAGCGCCTCACTGTCAAAGGCCAGTGGGAAAGCACAGGGGCCCACCCCAAGCTTTATGTCCTGTCGATGCTAAAGGGATTGAACAAAATCAGGCCTGGCTCAGAGCAGCTTTGCACTTGGGGAGGCGCCCATGTGAGGGGTGATGTGGGGACAGGAGGAACACGGGGCATGGACAATACTCTGGTTTGAGTGAGAGTGGCAGGTGCCTGCACATGATGTGTCCTAGGGATGGGGGACCTCTCCGTGGTGCGTGCAGGAGAGGGGTCAGAGTCTGAACCAAAGAAGAGGGGTGGGAAGGCCTTTGTAGACCCAACCAAAGGCTGGCGTTCAGGGCTCTGCTCCCACACAACTCTCCTTGGGTGCTGGCAGGTAAGATAGAGGCCAGTGGGAGAGACTCTCCAGGATGAGATTAGAAGGCCAGAGCTCCTTGGACCCCTGGGATACCTGGCTCAGGCCTGGTACTCTCACCTGGCAGCTAGTCTCCTGCAGAGCCCAGAGCCCAAGCCAGCTGAACCACCCCTGCCTTGAGCAAAGGTGCCTCAGGAGGTAGGTGGGATTGAGCAGCTGTTGGAATTGGATGCTGTCACCTGAACTGGACCAGGAAAGAATGAGGCAGGGCAAGGACAGTCACATTCAGAACTTGTGTTAGGCTACCAGGGTGAGGAGAGGCTGAAGACAGGGAAGAAGGATCTTTGCCTACAACCTTCCCCAAGGCTACAGGAACCAGGATCCACATCCCTCTCTGGGTAGGGCTCCCAGCCACTCTCTTAGGCCTTCCCACCAGAGGGGAGCCAGGATCTATGTAATGGGAACAGATGAATCATTGGTGGCTTTAGTTTGAGCCCGGGTGTTCAGTAGTAGGGTCTGGGCCTGACTGTTTTGTGGTAATGAGGAAAGAGTTTGTTCAGGCTGCTGGACCCACAGATTGGGGGGTCCAGGGGTTGGGGGAACTGTAAGGTGATGCTCGACCCTCAGTGAGAGCTGGGCTTTGAGCCAGGGAGTAACTGGGGAGGGAGAAGCCCAGGAGGACTGACCCAGGATTTCCTCAGCCACTGGAACAAGTCCTGTTTCTCTTTTAGGGGCTGAAGGTGCTACAAGAAGCCCCTGAGGATGTGCTGTCATTCACCCACTCTCCCCTCTGGTGGGTGGCCTTTCTTCCACCTGCTGTTCATGTCAACCAACGGGAGCTTCAATCCCTATCGCAAAGGCAGAATCCTCCAAATCCTCCAGGAGATCATGATTATGGTGGAGATACAATATTTCACTGCCTTCATTCTCGGTCATGATGATCCTCCTCTGCACTTTTTCTTAACACTGATGCTCTGGTGCTCACTGTTGGGATTCCTGCACTTTGCCTTCTAACTGGCTGAACAAGAATTATGAACAAAGAGAATATTTCCCAAGTTCTCCTTTGGTATCAGAAATCAGACACTTGTGAACATCATGAGCTGTTCGTTGTTAAAAGAATACTGTGTGAAAGTAGAATCTCAGGGCTTCTTTCTCTTTTTTGAAACTCAGGTCTTTTAAATAGAACAAGATTAGGGCACCTGGGTGGCTTAGTCGTGATGTGTCTGCCTTTGGCTCAGGTCGTGGTCCCGGGGTCCTGGGATCGAGCTCCGCATCGGTCGGGCTCCCTGCTCAGCGGGAGGCCTGCTTCTCCCTCTCCCACTCCCCCTGCTTGTGTTCCCTCTCTCCTGTCTCTCTCTCTCTGTCAGATAAATAAATAAAATCTTTATAAATAAATAAATAAATAAATAAATAAACACAATTATATTTGTGATAGTTTCCTTTAGTAATTTATCTTTTTTTTTTAAAATTTTATTATGTTATGTTAGTCACCACACAATACATCATTAGTTTTTGATGTAGTGATCCACGATCCATTGTTTTCGTATAACACCCAGTGCTCCATGCAGTACGTGCCCTCCTTAATACCCATCACCGGGCTAACCAATCCCCCCTCCCCCCTCCCCTCTAAAGCCCTGTTTCTTTCTCAGGTCCATAGTCTCTCATGGTTCATCTCTCCCTCCAATTCCCCCCGCCCATTTTTCCCTTCCTTCTCTTGATGTCCTCCATGTTATTCCTTATGTTCCACAAATAAGTGAAACCATATGATAATTGACTTTCTCTGCTTGACTTATTTCACTTAGCATAATCTCCTCCAGTCCCATCCATGTTGATGTAAAAGTTGGGTATTCATCTTTTCTGATGGCTGAGTAATATTCCATTGTATATATGGACCACATCTTCTTTATCCATTCATCTGTTGAAGAGCATCTCAGCTCTTTCCATAGTTTGGCTATTGCGGACATTGCTGCTATGAAAATTGGGGTGCATATGGCCCTTCTTTTCACTACATCTGTGTCTTTGGGGTAAATACCCAGGAGTGCAATTGCTGGGTCAGAGGGTAGCTCTATTTTTAAAATTTTGAGGAACCTCCACACTCTTTTCCAAAGTGGCTGTACCAACTTGCATTCCCACCAACAGTGTCAGAGGGTTCCCCTTTCTCCACAACCTCTCCAACATTTGTTGTTTCTTTCCCTGTCCATTTTTGCCATTCTAACTGGTGTAAGGTGATATCTCAATGTGGTTTTGATTTGGATTTCCCTGATGGCTAATGATGATGAACATTTTTTCATGTGTCTGTTAGCCATTTGTATGTCTTCTTCAGAGAAGTGTCTGTTCATCTCTTCTGCCCACTTTTTGACTTGATTATTTGTTTTTTGGGTGTTGAGTTTGAGAAGTTCTTTATAGATTTTGGATACCAGCCCTTTATCTGTAGTGTCATTTGCAAATATCTTCTCCCATTCTGTGGGTTGCCTTTTTGTTTTGTTGACTGTTTCCTTTGCTGTGCAGAAGCTTTTTATCTTGATGAAGTCCCAAAAGTTCATTTTTGCTTTTGTTTCACTAGCTTTTGGAGATGTATCTTGAAAGAAGTTGCTGTGGCCGATGTCAGAGAGGTTACTGTCTATGTTCTCCTCTAGGATTTTGATGGATTCCTGTCTCACATTGAGGTCTTTCATCCACTTTGAGTTTATCTTTGTGAATGGTGTTAGAGAACGGTCGAGTTTCATTCTTCTGCATGTGGCTGTCCAATTTTCCCAGCACCATTTATTGAAGAGACTGTCTTTTTTCCATTGCATGTTTTTTCCTGCTTTGTCAAAGATTATTTGACCGTAGAGTTGAGGGTCCCTATCTGGGTTCTCTATTCTGTTCCATTGGTCTGTATGTCTGTTTTTGTGCCAGTACCATGCCGTCTTGGTGATCACAGCTTTGTAATATAGCTTGAAATCGGGCAACGTGATGCCCCCAGCTTTGTTTTTCTTTTTCAACATTTCCTTGGCGATTCGGCGTCTTTTCTGATTCCATACAAATTTCAGGATTGTTTGTTCCAGCACTTCGAAAAATGTCATTGGAATTTTGATCGGGATGGCATTGAAGGTATAGATTGCTCTGGGGAGCATAGACATTTTAACAATGTTTATTCTTCCGATTCATGAGCATGGAATACTTTTCCATCTTTTTGTGTCTTCTTCAATTTCTTTCATGAGCGTTTTGTAGTTCCTAGAGTATAGATCCTTTACCTCTTTGGTTAGGTTTATTCCGAGGTATCTTATGGTTTTTGGTGCTATTGTAAATGGAATCGTTTCTTTAATTTCTCTTTCTACATTTGCGTTGTTAGTGTATAAGAAAGCAACTGATTTCTGTGCATTGATTTTGTATCCTGCCACATTACTGAATTGCTGGATGAGTTCTAGTAATTTGGGGGTGGAGTCTTCTGGGTTTTCCAGATAAAGTATCATGTCGTCTGCGAAAAGAGAGAGTTTGACTTCTTCTTTGCCAATTTGAATACCTTTTATTTCTTTTTGTTGTCTGATTGCTGTTGCTAGGACTTCTAGTATTATGTTGAACAATAGTGGTGAGAGTGGGCACCCTTGACGTGTTCCTGATCTTAAGGGAAAGACTCTCAGCTTTTCCCCATTGAGGATGATATTCGCTGTGGGTTTTTCATAGATGGATTTTATGAGCTTGAGGAATGTTCCCTCTATCCCTATACTCTGGAGAGTTTTAATCAGGAAAGGATGTTGTATTTTGTCAAATGCTTTTTCTGCATCAGTTGAGAGGACCATATGGTTCTTCTCCCTCCTCTTATTAATGTGTTCTATCACATTGATTGATTTGCGAATGTTGAACCACCCTTGCATCCCGGGGATAAATCCCACTTGGTTGTGGTGGATGATCCTTTTAATGTATTGTTGGATCCTATTAGCTAGGATTTTGTTGAGGATTTTGGAATCCATATTCATCAGGGATAACGGTCTGAAATTCTCCTTTTTGATGGGGTCTTTGCCTGGTTTGGGGATTAAGGTAATGCTGGCCTCATAGAATGAGTTTGGAAGTTTTCCTTCTGTTTCTATTTTTTGAAACAGCTTCAGCAGAATAGGTATTATTTCTTCTTTGAATGTTTGGTAGAATTCCCCAGGGAATCCATCAGGCCCTGGACTCTTGTTTTTTGGGAGGTTTTTGATCACTGCTTCAATCTCGTTACTGGTTATTGGCCTATTCAGGTTGTCAATTTCTTCCTGTTTCAGTCTTGGCAGCTTATAGGTTTCCAGGAAGGCCTCCATTTCATCCAGATTGCTCAGTTTATTGGCATAGAGTTGTTGATAATAATTTCTAATAATTGTTTCTATTTCCTTGGTGTTAGTCGTGATCTCTCCCCTTTCATTCATAATTTTATTAATTTGGGTCCTTTCGCTTTTCCTTTGGATAAGTCTGGCCAGTGGTTTATCAATCTTATTAATTCTTTCAAAGAACCAACTTCTAGTTTCATTGATCTGATCTACTGTGTTTCTGGTTTCTAATTCATTGATTTCTGCTCTAATTTTAATTATTTCTCTTCTAATGCGTGGCTTAGGCGTCGTTTGTTGCTTTTTCTCTAGTTCTTTACGGTGTAGAGTTAGTTGGTGAATTCGGGATTTTTCTATTTTTTTGAGTGAGGCTTGGATGGCTATGTATTTCCTCCTTAGGACCGCCTTTGCAGTATCCCATAGGTTTTGGACCGATGTGTTTTTTTCTCATTGATTTCCATGAATTGTTTAAGTTCTCTTTGATTTCTTAGTTGACCCAAACATTCTTTTTTTTTTTTAATTTTTTATTCTTATGTTAATCCCCATACATTACATCATTAGTTTTAGATGAAGTGTTCCATGATTCATTGTTTGTGCACAACACCCAGTGCTCCATGCAGAATGTGCCCTCCTCAATACCCACCACCAGGCTAACCCATCCTCCCACCCCCCTCCCCTCTAGAACCCTGTTTGTTTTTCAGAGTCCATTGTCTCTCATGGTTCGTCTACCCCTCTGATTTCCCCCGCTTCATTCTTCCCCTCCCGCTACCTTCTTCTTCTTCTTTTTTTTTTCTTAACATATATTGCATTATTTGTTTCAGAGGTACAGATCTGAGATTCAACAGTCTTGCACAATTCACAGCGCTTACCAGAGCACATACCCTCCCCAGTGTCTATCACCCAGTCACCCCATCCCTCCCACCCCACCCCCCACTCCAACAACCCTCAGTTTGATTCCTGCGATTAAGAATTCCTCATATCAGTGAGATCATATGATACATGTCTTTCTCTTTTTGACTTATTTCACTCAACATAATACCCTCCAGTTCCATCCACGTCGTTGCAAATGGCAAGATCTCATTCCTTTTGATGGCTGCATAATATTCCATTGTATATATATACCACATCTTCTTTAGCCATTCATCTGTCGATGGACATCTTGGCTCTTTCCACAGTTTGGCTATTGTGGACATTGCTGCTATAAACATCGGGGTGCACGTACCCCTTCGGATCCCTACTTTTGTATCTTTGGGGTAAATACCCAGTAGTGCAATGGTAGCTCTATTTTCAACTTTTTGAGGAACCTCCATACAGTTTTCCAGAGTGGCTGCACCAGCTTGCATTCCCACCAACAGTGTAGGAGGGTTCCCCTTTCTCTGCATCCCCACCAACATCTGTCATTTCCTGACTTGTTAATTTTAGCCATTCTGAATGGTGTGAGGTGGTATCTCATTGAGGTTTTGATTTGGATTTCCCTGATGCTGAGTGATGTTGAGCACTTTTTCATGGGTCTGTTGGCCATTTGGATGTCTTCTTTGGAAAAATGTCTGTTCATGTCTTCTGCCTATTTCTTGATTGGATTCTTTGTTCTTTGGGTGTTGAGTTTGATGAGTTCTTTATAGATTTTGGATACTAGCCCTTTATCTGATATGTCATTTGCAAATATCTTCTCCCATTCTGTCAGTTGCCTTTTGGTTTTGTTGACTGTTTCCTTTGCTTTGCAAAAGCTTTTTATCTTGATGAAGTCCCAATAGTTCATTTTTACCCTTGCTTCCCTTGCCTTTGGCGATGTTTCTAGGAAGAAGTTGCTTCAGCTGAGGTCAAAGAGGTTGCTGCCTGTGTTCTCCTTTAGGATTTTGATGGACTCCTGTCTCACATTGAGGTCTTTCAACCATTTGGAGTCTATTTTTGTGTGTGGTGTAAGGAAATGGTCCAGTTTCATTCTTCTGCATGTGGCTGTCCAATTTTCCCAACACCATTTGTTGAAGAGACTGTCTTTGTTCCATTGGACATTCTTTCCTGCTTTGTCGAAGATTAGTTGACCATAGAGTTGAGGGTCCATTTCTGGGCTCTCTATTCTGTTCCATTGATCTATGTGTCTGTTTTTGTGCCAGTACCATGCTGTCTTGATGATGAC